AAAGGAAAAGGACCGCGCTAAAGGAGATACGAATACTACAGAACTCACACATGACGATTTGTATACAAACCGAGATTTACATATCAACAGCACTTTTGCCGAACCATTTATCGACTTCAACCGAGAAAAAAAAATACTATCAAGCATTGTTTTTACTTTAATTTGCATCTGTTTCCATTGAATCGTTTAGTTTTCATGTTGCCAAAACCGTCGAGTGATCGATATGCCATCTGAATAATACTCTTGTCAATTGCCTCTCCTTTGTTTGGAAAATATTTAGTTGAAATTCTATGATTTTTTTTATTATCTTCTAGTGATTTGCATCGATATAGTCCACGTGAGATTTCAAGTCCATCGAAAGAAAAAACAATGCGCACACAAGGTGGAAGAAATTGCAAAACTTTTCTATTGAAAAATTAACCAAAACAAAATGACGTTTTTGATATTGATCAGTCATAATGTGGATATAATGGTAAAAATGTAAATGTTATTTGAAGAAACATACTGATTACGACGAGATTTGCTTTTTTATGGACTATTTTACGTCGTGAAGATAGGACGCACGTGGAGAATTACCTGCTCTTGTTTTCATTTAGAAAGGACTACATTTTTTACATTTATTATTCGGCATTCAACAATCCCTTTACACCAGAATAACAACCCACACAGAAAGGCCTAAGTATTCGTTTTATTTTTCGACCACTTGAAATACACATGCTAACTTGTCACGCCTGATCTTTCTTTATCGCGATCTTCTTCTCTTCAGATTTTGCCATTTTTATTTTATCGCTTTTGTGTTCGCTGTTCAGCTAAGTTAGCCGAGCTAACCCATTATAAACATCATCATTTGTCAATTTTGTCAATCACCATTGACATACGTTCTAAATTCAGTGTATTGACGTTTAACAAAAGTGATCAAGAAAACAAAAAGCAAACAAACTAAACTTGTTTGGCAACTTTTTGTATTTTTTTGTATCTTACCTTTGGCACTTTTTTTTCTGTATTTTTTTTTAATGAATCGAAACAACTAATCGAAATGAAAATTAATAATTTTCAATAAACTGAGAGGGTGAAATATCGAAAAAAGTCTACCTATTCATTTATTTCTATTCAAAAAATATCACATAAACTGTATATCTACTACAATACGTGTGAAGTTGTGATATATAAAAAACAACGACATCTTTAGTTGAAGGGCTGAACTAAGTCATGTGTTTGTGCGAGCTTTTCGCCGCAATCATTGAATGAAAATTCTAGGACAACGCAATATTAAAATTCTTCTTGAAAATAAATATTTTTTTCAAGAAAAATCCAACTCAGAACTACTATCTTCAAATATCGATTTATTTAATTCCTTTGATTTCGGTAATTTTGTTGAAAACTGCAGACTATTATGTTTTTTTATTATGATGGATATTGTAATTACCAATAATAATTTAAACGAAAATAAAATAATATAATAAGATTCATTCCGAAATCATAAGACACAATTTATAATTGGCGTTGCGGATTGCCTTATTTTTTAAAAGAAAATCTATGACAAAATATTGAATTTTTTATTCAGAATAAATTCCAAAGTAACGAAATTAATTTGTGACTGTTATTGAAAAAAAATACTTGTGTTAAAAAAAATAGAATTTTGAAGAACATATATTTGAGACTACAGTAATGAAAACAAAACTCAATGAATTTATATGTTTTTATTCAATAAATTTATATCAATATTTTTTTAGCATTTTTATCAGCTTTTTTCTTCAATTTTATTGATTTGCTCACTAATTAATTCAATTCAAACAACCAAGAAAAAAAAATATATTGAGTAGAACAAAAAAATAATCATCAACCCTATAATACACATAGTTATATTTTAAATTTAAGCCCTAAGTCTAAACGAATAAAATGATAATGATTTCTCTTTTTTTAATAATTAAACTCGTAATCATAATCTGATTCATTCGATTTATCTTGTGTATGTGTCTGTGAGTGTGTGTGTGTGTGTGTCGCATGTCTTGAAGGTAAAATATTTGTATTTGTATAGACTAAATTGAAATATGAGAATTGGGCAGAGTCCTAAATGACAAGAAACAGAAAATTTTAGTTACAAGAATTGGTTTGCTCTTTTGTGGGGGGAAAAAACTACATATTGGTTGGTTTATTTTGATTTTTTTTTATTAATATTCTTCGTTTAATTTTTTGCCTCACGCCCCGTGTGATGATTATAACTAGTAACAAAGATACATACGTGTTTTGGGTATTTAATTGCAAAAAAACAATTACAATGAAATTGATTCCATTTTTGTTCATGTTTAGCTATTGAATTCTTGGAGTTTTTGTTTATCATCTCTCTTCACATACGAAAAAACAAAAATGGAAAAAATACAACTTTAAATTAAAACGTAATATTGCATAGTTTGTTGTTTATATACTTCTTAGAACGTGTTTCGTGTTTACGCGTCAATGTGCGTCCATCAAAATCTAAAGTTTAGTGAAATAAGAAAAGCAAAAAATAGTCAAAATCTAATCAAGTCCAATAAGCTTGGGTATATGGTTTTTCGATTTTTTTTTTGTTGTTATCAGCGTTGCCAAAAAATACAATTTGAACCAAAAAACACTTCGATTCGAAAGCGAGTACGATTAAAATAGGAAAAAGAAAACGTATGAAGCACAAATGTGTGAAATCCCTAATTTTAGCAAAAATTACGTTTGAAGAAAAAAGAAAGGAAAACGCAATTATTTTGAATAATGAACGAGAAGAAAACTGATGCACAACAAAAAGAACATAATAGAAATGATTAAATTGAAAATTGAATGGTTAAATCCGCCAAAAATCTTACATTTTAAAACTAATATAGGAATTACTTTTTTTTATTCTCTTTTCTTATATGTTTCCTCCTTATCGTTGCCGACGTGCGAAGGGAAATACCGTGGATATCGGTTCTCTTGCATTGGTTGTGAGACAAAAAAAGGGGGGAGAACAAAAACAAAAATAGTTTCTAATTATTTCACGTCGCACGACAAGCAACGATAATTATGGCATTGATTCCTTCTTATCATTTAATTCTAGTCGTTTATCATATATTTATAATGTAGGTATTTGTTGTCTTTCTGTACTCCGAAGAAATTTGAATTTAGATCTCTGAATTTCAATTGTTTGTTTTTCAAACAAAATATGTGTTTGTTTTTTTTTTCTTTTTGACAGAAAAAAATATCTATTTAATAATAATTCGTAATTGTTTTGTATTGTTTTGTTCACAATAAATAGCCCAGTTGAACTATCCATTTTTTTATCATTTTTGTTTGTTTTTTTTTAAATTCTTCAGCCACTTTGGTATGGAAACGTGAACGAATTCTGTGCGTTTCTTTTTTTTTTATTCTTGCGTCAGATGAAATTCGCTATCGTGATGTTACTTGATTGTTTGTTTGTCGGTGTCGGTGTCGGATTTATGCTTTTCATTTAAATTTAGAATTTCCATTGTAATATATTTTTTGATATCCATACATAAAGCAAACGTGATTTCAAGCGCGCGCACGCACGCACATAAAGAAAGGAGTTGCGTGTATATGCGATAATCAGACTAGGGTTCTATGTACATATACCTGATTAATAGCAATTTTGCAGAAATTATTCGAAAAAAAAGAAGAATTATTCAAATGGAAATTTAAGAGAAAAACTATGGTAACGATCCGCAACGAAACCTTTTCCTTTTCTTTTTCCTCAAAAAAAAGAAAGACACGAACTTCATCAGAACAAACGCTTTGTAACAGAGAAAGAGATTTTTTGAATGAATTTCGAATCAATTGGCGCTTAGCGAGCGATAGAGAGAGAGAGAGAGGGGTGGGTGGGTAGAGAGAATGAGAAAATAAGCATATTGCTGTGTGTGTTTTTTTCATTTGTTTTGGTTTCGGCTTGCATGGTTTTAGATGTGCTTTTATGTGTTGTAATTAAAAATTTCGGTGTAAGTTTTATAAATTTTTCTTTGCCTTTCTATTCTTCCGAATTTAAATTTCTATTTTGACAAAAATTTCCTTCAAAACCAATTGAATTTTGTGTGTTTGTGTGTGTTTCCTACAATATGAAGAATTATTTCTTTGCGTTTCGGTTTTTCTTTTTGTTTTTCTCTTCTCTTAAATGTGTGATCGTGTGTAGCAATTTGTTTATTTTTGTTTTTCTATTCTCCAAAAATTGTTTAGTTCCGGTTGTTGTCATTGCTGTTCCTTGTATTGTGTCTTCATTAATACATAATAGTTATTATTAATATTATTCTTCATGTATAATATAATTAAAACTACATACGGTAAAGTGGTCGAATACATAAATTGAAGAAATTCCGTAGTTTTGTCGAACGATAAGCACATCACCTGCAGTAACCATGGATTAGGATTGGCGGTGGAAGTAAAATTTCGACGAGGTTTTCATAGTACAGGGATTGTGTTAGTGTACAACGAAAGTACGGGATTTCTTTAAGCCAAACGTAAGCCTTCATTGAACATTCGTAACACATTTGAGATGATGATAAATTATAATTATTTGTTTTATTTTTTGTTTTCTCTCTCGTTTGTTTTCATCTTATTTCAATCGATTTTAATATATGCAAACATTTATATCAATCATATTCATCATTTATCTTCATTTTTTTCAATCTCTATTCTAATTTATTTAGTGTTTTATTCAGATTTTTGCAATCATTGTTACTCTTAACTTGCGATTGCGTAGGTGTATGTGATTTTTTTTTTCAGCGTAAAAATCTCTCTCATACATCTCTCGCATTTAGTTTAAACCTTTTTTTTTTCATTTCGATAGTTCTTTTTGTGTACAGAGTGTTCAAGAGTGATTGGTTTTTTTAGTGTTTTTTTGATGTAATTTTTTGCTTGCTTTTCATTTCTTTAATTTTCTTCAACGGTATTTAAAATAACATTTTTGTTGCAAATAATTTTTCAATTTTTTTTTTACATTTTTACCTCATCTGCATAGTTAAATGTTTTATTTTGTTTTGTTTTTTTTTCGAATTTTTTTTTTGTATTTTAGATTTATTATTAATAATATATGTTATAAAAATTATTAATTAGATGGCACAAGAGTTCAAATCTTTTGAATTTTTTCTCCGACAACTACAGGATTGTTTCGACGGATCTCCTGGGCACCATGTTCTCGATAGTCGTACGTACATTGGTGTTCATCGCTGTATCTATGTACGGCGCAATAAAGACCACCGCATCGGCATTGAAAACCTAAGAGTAATAGAAAATTGATTGTAAATTGGTTGTCAGCCATAAATCACATGATGACGATACATTTTTGAAAAGAATACAAAATATGTGCCAAATACGACGTTATAACTTACCTGTTAATCCAACCTTCTTACGGCAGATGCCACAACGGTTTTTCTTTTTCTTTGAATCCTTGTCACCATCTTTGTCCTCTTGTTCATCGCTAATGGAAGTTCCGGCTATTTCACTAATTGCGCTTGCGCTAGCTTCAGGTAGTTTCTATTAATTATTTAAATAAAAATAAAATTCCGAATGTTATTAGCAAAAAAGTCGAAAAATATCGAAGAGTAAAAGATAATGAAAAAACCAATGGTGTACACTTACTTCTTTGTTGGTTTCAATGTGTGGTTGTTGCAAAGTCTGCACTGTTGGCTGTGCTGTGTGAGTGACCGATGCAGGGGAACTGAAATTTTGTTGTGTTTGCTGTTGCGGACTTGAAACAACAGGTGTACTACTAACGGGGGGTTGTTGTTTCTTTCTAAGTGAGTCCTTTAATAAATAAAAAAATATTCCAACATTATTATTATTTTTATTCATAAATTATATGAAACTCAAAGTAATGTTTGTTGAAAAAATCATTTAATTCAAGAATGAAATGGGCTATCGATCTCAATTTAATAGCAAATAGAAAATATTCGACTATACCCGTTATCGAATCTTTTTTACATAGACAACAATGAGAATTTACAAACGGCACAACTGAATGAATGATGGAGAACACTTACTTTATAGCATACAGAACATAAACCGTCTTGGGCAGGATTACCATAGAAACCGCATCCAGAACGGCACATTGGTTGCATTGGATTTGATTCGCGCTCCATTTTGTCTAGGTTTTGGATTTTTCGCTTTACGTTTGATAAATTTACTTAATCAGTTCAATGGATCGTTACACACAATGGTCGAGCTCAAAACAGACTTTGACTCGAATATATATATGTATATATATCTATGCTGCGCTTAATGAAATTGACGAGGTTTTGGTTTGCTTGTTGAATTCAAATGGAATTTATAGTCTTTTCTTCTTCAATTTATGCACTTGCACTCATATACATTTATCGTCGCGCGTATGACAATTAGGTATCTAGTTTAATCACAGTTTTTAAATTTCGTTTTGTTATTTTGGTTTTTACGCCGATTCTCATTCACTTCGCAAAGCCAGATTTCATTTATTTACTCAAATTGTCTTTAGAAATGAGTTGAAAACTAATTCGAATTTGTTTTTTTTTTCTTGTTTCCTTTCTTGTTTATCTCCTTTCAATTTTTAAATATGCACTTTTAAAAGTCATTGGATTTCGATCACTTTTAATTGTTCATTTATTTATTTCAGCTGGAAACGTCTCATGCCAGCGGCAAACACAAAGAAATTTGTTTTTTTTTTTTTTAATTCCGCGAGTCAGCAAAGAAGGTCGTGTCAAATTCACCTCGCGTATGACTGGACTGTCCCGAAGTTTCTATTTTTAGCCTGTAAATAAACAAGTAAACATAAATTTAGACAAATAAATTTTTCACAAAAATACAATCTATAGATTTGAATCATTTAACTGGATATTTATTTAAAAATATAATTGTAGCAAGCAACGCATTTAAAATTAAACGATTGCTTTGATTTTGATTTTTGTTGCACATCTATTTTTGTGTCATAAATGTGGTTTTTGCTATCGTAAACAAATCTATTTTGAAGATGTTGACATTCGTCATTATCAGTCTTAGCTGATTTATTGGATTTCATGTCGCCACCATTGCAATCGCAATCATTTGTCTGAATTGGAATTCTTATTTCAATATATAGTTTGAGACAATTTCAATCAATTAAATAAATAATATTTAATAATAGAATGTATATGTATGTATGCATGGAGACCGGAGAGGGATAGATATAAAAAGAATAAATATACAAAATCAGGTCACACAAACAAAAGAAGTATATTTTCAACGCAAGCACTTTTCTCGAAATAAGTGTTGAACCATATGCGCTTCGCTGTTATTCATATGTATGTCAATATCTCATTTTTAACCACAACGACGAAAAACAGCACCGAGTAGCATTTTGTGTGTGAGTTCAAACTACGGCCATGTGCGTTTCTCTGTGTGCGGTGAATAAAAAAAAATGTAACTGAGAATGGTGTTGCCGTATGTGAATCTAGATTGGTTTTTCGTGTCGACATTCAACACAAATTTAGAGTGCACTGTCAGTTTAATTGAAGAATGCAAGATCATTGATCATCAAAACTAAACACCCAAAGGCGGTGATTTAGAATAAAAAAAGACGAATACCAAATATTCAATATTTTGAATTCCTTTCCTCGTATTTGGATTCCACGTGAAAACCAAAACGATTTGCGACGTTGGAGAAAAACACATCCAATTCATCATTAGTATTGCTTGTGCACAAAATCGAATTGTGTACGCGCATAACCTGAAGATGAAAAAAAAAACAGCTGATTTGTAGTAGGCTAAACTTGATCCACATTTTTATAACATGCATGCAAATTTGTACCAAACCTGTGATTGAAAACGATTTTTGGTTAAAAAAATATATATGGGCATGAATAAGTCAAACGCTTTTGCTATTTATTTTAATCGGTTTGTGGAATTAACATATGTGACGTGTGGGCACGTGTTGAATTAAGACACAATTTGCATAATGTCATGTGTATTCAAATTTTCCATTGAAATTGGCGCAATGCTACCACTTTATTATCAATTGTTATCACCAATGAAATGGGTAAATTTGAACATATCTTTTCAGTGACGGCAAATGCGACTTATATTCACAAATTCCAATGAAATCCATTAAAATATTTTTTTTTTCTTTGAATGGAATTTGCAAGGATTATTGTTTTTTTGTTATTCAGACTTCCGAAAATTCCAAAAGCAAAACAAAAATTCTCGTACGTAAGTAGAGTAATTCAAGTAGAGAACATTGCGTGAGAGAAATAAAATCGACCAGAGCGAATTATCGATTGAATTTGAGTTGTTTTTTTTTTCGTTTGGAATTTTCGGATGACTCACGCAAAGAGGCTAATGACTATGTATATACGGTACATGAACAAAAATTGTATTACTCAGACGACGCCCAGCCGTTCGGCAGATGCCTTTTGGTTAATCGTCTTGAGATGGTTGAATATTTTTCACAAACATAAGCTCAATGTTGAACTCAAAGGGTTGATGACTTCATCAATCGCCATCCGCACAAATAATGAAAAGGTTTTTTTTTGTTAATTTATTCCCAAAGGAGTCTGGAGTGTTATTTGAATGTGATTGTCGATAGGGACACAATATGCTCTTTACCAATATAAATATCGTTGACGATGTAATCGTAAAGAAATAAGTGAACGTTTTTTCCCCGAAATATGATGTACAATATAAATTGGACGATGGCGCTGAGTCAACACAGCAAGTGACCGCAGGTAACGTGTCATTTTATTTGATGAATGTCTTGGAGGCATGCTGAACAAGTAAATAATGTAGAAGCATCAACCGCTGTCATGTATTACGGAATGTTCACAAAATGTGAGTTGTTCGATGTCAAAAAGTTCTTTTTGAAAATATTCATTTAATAATATGATACACGTCGAAGAAACCCGAGATCAACTTTTGGATTTTTTTGTCAGTATACTGTTTTGATCTACGTATCATCATCAAAAAAACCGCAGATTTGAAAGGATCTGACGTCACTAATTTCAAATGACTTAAAACACGACACACAATCACACGAAAGAATCTTTAAAACTATCAAACGGTCTTGGTAGTTGTGCTCTCAGAATATCTTTTATGTATTGAATGAGAATTTAATGTGCCCATTAACTCGACCATAAGTCGTTGTACACATTAGCTGCGCAACTGAAACTGCTGAAATTCAGTCGAAGATCATTCAAATGAAATCAAGTTTATTTCAAATAAAATTAGAATCTTCACTAAATTTTTGGAGTGTATTTGCGAACCGAATGAGATGCTTTCACTCAAGTTTTGTTTTTTCCATTCATGAGTCAGTTGTTTTTGTCGATAAGAAATGATTGAATCATCGTTTTCAAGCGAAAATTATTACCGCGTTGCGAAAACAAAAAAAAAACGAAACCGAATGAGGTAAAATTGGAGAAACAGAATGTCGGGGAAATCTACTTGTTATATACTAATCTGAATACAATCCAGCTTTCGTGATACATGCAACAAATGAATGCGGTGTGAAAAGAGTCTTGGTGTCGATGGAAAAAATGTGCATCGTAGGAGACTTTATGTATGCAAAGAGACCAAAAGTAATGACCCATATTTATTTTTTACGTTAGGAAAATTAACGAAAGTTCTGCTTTTCTCACATGTTTTCTCTTGATTGGTTGAAATATGGTCAATATTATAATATTTTACGAAATTTTTTGTGAATTTAAACCCAACCATCGAGCGAACCATTGTGAAAACAACCGAAATCGAGTGATTTTTTTATTAAATTTTATTCAATAAAAGAGATAGAAACACATTGTGTGTTGCAATTATATCCGCTGAAGAGCGACTGTCTTTGCGTCATCTACTGATTAAGTGGTACAATAAGTGAAAATGTATCATTTATTTGCTTGAGTTGCTGAAAATATTCAACATCAGTTACTTTGGCTCTCGAATTTCATCTGTCATTCGTCAACTAGATGAAGTAATTTTCACAATGTTTTTTTGTCTTTTCTTAAATAAAAAAAGAAGTAAAGTGAAAAAGACAGCGTGTAAAAAGGTGATAGTATCATAAATTTCACAACAATTGTATCAGAGAAATTGCGTCCCAGATACAAAATTAATGTTTTTTTTGGCATAATGTGTCTTAGGTATTGAGTGGTGAAAAATTCAAATAAAAATTCGCAAAGTAAAAAAATCGGAATAAATGTACTTGTGTTTGTTTAAGCTACAGCACACTTAAATATGAATCGATGTTGCCGATTTGTGGCTCTATTTAAATGTACTTGAACTGGTGTGTGTCAAGAGCATAGTAAACGTATTCTCAAAGACTTACATTTTCATCCTCAGAAGATTTATCAAGAGGAAACATATTGCACCAAGGTTTCTGTTACATTCAAACTCATCAGCACAGGGTAATTTTCATTAAATCACTTTATGAAAATTACATAGTGAATGGGAAGTGTGATAACACATATTTCAATTTCTTTTTTCGCATATGTACATTCTATTTTTCGTCAAAGTACTCACTCGATCCAAGTTTAAATTCGTTTGGAAAATGTTGAAAAAATTTCTTTTTTTAATTATAATAATCATATATGTATATCGAACATAAATGTAAACGCATCATTGAACTATGCACTATTTCATGTTGGTATAAAATCTGTCAGAAGCAGAAAGATACCTTAATCAGAATTTTCATTTGAGAAATCAATGGTTTTTTTTTTGTCTGAACATCGTAAGCGTTTTCATGTCTTCACAATGTTAAATTGAATAACCACAATTTTTGTTGTTGGTGTGCTCGGTTTCGGCAAGAGGAAAAAGTAAAACATTTACTGTTATTGTTTATTGTGTTATTTCTATGGTGTGTCTCGGTCGGTTTCACAGCGACCAACCAAGACTTGGTTTAACTTTTTGAAATATTATACATTTTGGTAGGCTTTAATGATATGCTGAAACATGCGGCGCATATATAATATATGTGCACGTATATACACGTCCAATAGCGACACAGTACAATTTTTTTTTATGTAATCGCAGCCATTAATAGTGTACACTGTACATATACATATGTGTATAGGTATTTATTTTGCTACACCAGTGCACGGCAACGGTCGCACACAATTCGTTCGTGTTTAATTTTATGCTTTTGATCACTTCACTGTTAGCATAACACAAGCGGAACAAAAGCGCTAGAAGTGTAAAGGAACGAGTTAATGAATTATGCTGCACTCGAAAACCAAAACTGAATCTCAAACTTCATAGGCAAACAATTGTTTGATGGTGTGCATAATATTTGTGATATAAAAGGTATTGTGAATGAATGACTTTTGTTTGCAATCCGCGTGACAATTGTTGCTTGCTGTTGAATTGTTTTTTTTTCATCTTGTGTTATTATAGATATATTTTCTCAAACGCCTTTTATTACGGCTAGATACATGTGCAGAAAATCGATTTGTATCGCTCAAAGTCAACTTATGGCTTGCATTCTTGTTTCAATAGTGCGACAGTATTAAGGTTAATGTGTCACTGAAACAAACATTCATTCATACCAATCTAATAACCAGTTATTATGCAGATTCATTTTTTTTTTTTTTCATCGATATTTGCATTCGAAAAACTCTTCCAATTATTACCTTAAATTTGGAGCGCACAACGAATTTTGAAAGTAAAACACAAAATCAGAACTATTTATGCAATACATCGAAGCATAAAAATTACATCGAATTAATTCATTATTGCATTTGTTATTTAAAACTGAAATTCGTAAAACCGAACCGACAAACAGTATGAAATAAAAAGGAT